CAGGGGTAATCAGGGGCTCTGAATCCACCTGTAACAATTTCAGGCTTATCAGATAAGTATTTTTTGAGTTATGGTGCATAACATTTTTTTGGATCCTGCTTTGCAGCGCTAAGTTTGGCGGGCTGTAACTCTAAGACGGATTATTTAAATGCAAAATGTTATATAACATTGAACTTGCAATGAGACAGAGATTAATATGTATTTTTGAAATTTCGAAAAATACGCTATTTTTGATACATGACACATCGAGTTTTCTTTCATTTGTATTTTTTGGACTTTGGAACCAAATTTTTTTGAATTTTTATTTCTTTAAAAAATATTTGGCTCATTGTTAAAAAGTATGCAAAAAATTAGGAGGGTGTTCTTTCTATAAATCTTTTTATTTTACGTCACGATAACGGTTTCGAATAGTGATTTCGGAAGGGGAGCTTATAAATGGTGTGGTAAAGCTGCCGAGTGACATCACGGGTTACTGAAATTTCAATTGAAGTCTGATTCATCTGAACAAAGTGAAAAGAGGGCTCATCCAACCCTCTTTCCTATAAGCGCGAGGGTGAAAAAGGCTGTTTGGTTCTGACATTGTTTTGGACGCCAATGACCATAGCTGTCCGAGATGAAAGTTACAGGACGCATATATGGTGTCCTCCAGAGGTCTCACAACTTGTATATCTGGGAATTTTTTAAGGTTACATGAGGTCAGGTCGGTCACGTGACATCACTGTTATAACTTATAAGTCAATGGGGAAATATAAAAACTGTTATTTTGGCGCCGAGAATGATCTACAACTATCTCACGTACATGGTATCGTGATTTCATGCACTCCTTATGCTTCACTTTTGCATTGTTAACCTTGCGTGAGTCACTAGGGTCGTACGAGTTTTTCGTCAATAGCTCCCGATCAAATGGAGCTAGAGAGTCGGGAAAGCCACCAATGGACTCGGGAAGACCTTCCGAATCGAATGATATGCCATATGATACCCTTTGCCCAGCTTCGTGACCTGAGGGGCTCTGACCTGACCTTGACCCGAGGTCAACTACTTAAGTTGACCTCACCCTAGCAAAAAGTATACCATTCGATGCACCTGAGCTAGGCGAACACAATGATGCCAAAATCGCGGCTCTGCGGCCATTTTTTGCGAAGTTATTTATTAAAAAACCGAAGCCGTAACTTCAGTCACTTGACCTGACCTCAGACGCTACCGGTTAACCTGAGACCTTAAAATCGGGTACCAATCGCTGCGACTTGTAACGGCACACACGCTCGTTTTTTCCGCGAGGCTCTAGCTCTATTAGAAGCGAAACGGCGTGCTGGGGTCGTATCAACCCCTCCGAAACCCATTTTGCTTGCGGGAAAATGAGGAACTTATAGAAAGAACACCTTTCTAATTTTTTGCATGTCGATTTGCAATGACATGAAGTTTATTTTGAAAAAATAAAAATGTGAAAAATTTTGGTCCCAAAAGTCATTAGAGGCAAATGAAAAAAGATTAAGGTTTTTGCTCAACAATGAAATTTTTTCTTTGGAATTTTTAAATAGTAATATTAATTTTTGATTCATCGCAAGCTTAGTGTTGTTTACTGTTTGTTGGTTGCTTAACCCGTTCTTTAGTTATAGGCCATTAAACTCACCGTTACGAACCGAAGTTAAAAAAATGTAATGCAATATAACGCAAAAAGTTTTGATCTGAGAAGTCTGATATTTTGCCAGGCGTCTTTGGGGCCTATGATTACCCCTAGGACCGATTTTCATTAAAATCTGAGAGATGAGGGTGACGGGCCTGGTACGATCTATCGTGGAATGCCCCAGGGTTAAAACTTCCACTCTACGTCCCATCCCGCGCCCCGTAGGGGGGGGGCCGAAACGGCCCCCCCCTGTCCTTTTCGGTCGATATCTCCTAAACGGCTGGAGATATCGCCACCAAACTTTCAGGACCCCTCCGGGCATCAATTTTACACATTGTGACTAAAAAATTTTCAGAGGCTATGATAGGTTGGCCACAAATGACGTCAGAGTGACGTCATGTTCTGTCATTTTCGACCGAAAAAAGACCTTCGCGAGAAGACCTGTCAGGCCTACAGCTTTGAAGATACAGAAAAATGATCAAGACATAAAAGGTGTAGAATTGACAGGGCTACAAAACTGCTATCTCGGATTTTTGAAATTTTTGAGTTTTGACCCCCAAAAATCAAAAAAGCATTTTTTTGGATATATTAGCCAAAAAAATCCAAAAAGTTTTTGAGTTTCGAAAAAACGGAATATATGTGATAGTACCTACCGTGTTCTATCTACATACCAAATTTCAGATCGATACCTCGTTTTTTGGCCAAGTTATAGCGAAAAAACTGTTCAAAAATGATGATGTCAAATTTTCAAACTCAATTGTTGGCAATTCTAGACCTCGTAGAGCAAAACAAAGACCACCATTAGACTCCCCGTGACGAGCTGCATCGAATCGATACCCATTTTATGCAAAAATATCAACTTTGAAATTTGACCTAATTTGACCTGACCTTGACCTGACCTTCACCAAAACGTGACCTAGGCTGGCCCCAAAGGCTGCCTAACCCACATAATCGCATTTGTCATGTAAAATGGACCATAAAACATGCATCACACGACACTTTCATATTGTGACCCCCGGTGACCTGACCTCGCTGTGACCTGACCTGGTATCAGTGACCTCAGATAGCAAAGTATGTGTTTGACGAACAATGTACCATCGATGGTTTTCAATAAATTACCAATTTACTCGATTTCACAACACATTTCTTGAAATGCCTGTGAACGGTGAACTGAAAATCTGACCTTTGACCTGACCTGTGACGTCATCGGTTTGACCTAGGTCAATGAAATTTGGTCACAAGGTACTTCCCGGGTGGGGCTATCGAACGCCGTTTGAATTTTGAAAATCGGCCGGTAACTTTCCGAGATCTTAGGGGGGGGGGCCGAAACGGCCCCCCCCCCCCTACGGGTGGTAGGGTCCGCCGGTAGCCCTACGGGGCGTGGGATAAATCAAGGAGTTTTTCAAGGTTCTTCTCTCGGTCGGATTCTTTTCTGCGCGTTTGCAAATGACCTGAGTCTCCATGCGGCTGATGCACTCGTCGTGCAATACTCCGATGATACTCAAGTCATGGTTTCGGGATCAAAAGCTGTTTTTTTTTCAACACGTATCGTTCGCATGGAATCCGCTATTGCCTCACTTGGATATTATTTTCTTACTCAACGGATTAAAAGTTACCGTAACCAAAGATCTCGAGAAAGAAGCAAGATAGCGACAAGCGGTAAACGGCATGGGGTACGCACGGACAAGTTCTACAATTTTTACAAGGTTATTTACAGGTCAGGTCAAAGATGACGTCACAGGGGCCAAAAATGTCAAAATGGTGGCGCTAGAATTGAAGAGTTTTTATCGAATAACTTTCGAAGTAGTCAAGCTAGAAACAAAGTAATGGAACCATCGTGATCCTCCCGTCAATCCACATCGGAACATATATGTGTTGACCTCGAAAGGTCAAGGTCAAAGGATGATCTCAGGCCACGTGACCTCAAGGTCATCACGTTTATCATTCGATGCGCCTTGACGAGCTGAACACAATGAGACCATCCGTGCGGCTGTATTTCGCTCCTGTAAGGAGTTATCAGCAAAAAAAAAAAACCTATGGTGACCCTTGATAACGTCACATGATCTTACATTTGCCCAAGAGCAAAAAAAAGCCTCAACTTAGTCAAGGTTGATCGTATATGAAGTAATCCATGGTATATTGGGCCATTCCGACGCGTTTTAGTGAAAAAACAGGGAGTTTATTTCCCCCATTGACATAGGTAATGGGGAGGTCAAGAAATTGACCTGACCTTAGGGCATCGATATCAAAATTCCGAGATATATAAATTGTAGCTACTAATGACCTCATTAAATCCTGCGGCGCCGCTATAGCGCGGCGAAAAAAGTGAGGGCGTTTAACCCCCCCCCCCCCGCCCCAGTAACCCGCGGGTCAACTCCCCCACATTTCTTTCTCTGGAGACCAGACATGTGCCTGGATCCGAGTGCGTGATCCATCATCTCATTACTCGAGAGTGACAGTCCTATCTTACTCATCACCAAAGTGGATCTCGAAACAAAGAACAAGTTAGGAATTAGGATCTATGATCCTTTTGGGTTTTACGCTGAAAAATATCTCGGGTCTGTGCTCTCATAGGTTCTGACGAAAAACCAAGAACATGGATACCTACCTAGCCACCTGATCCGAGTGGATTACGCTGCACCTAACCAGTAAAACCAGGCGCTCCCAGGTCAATACGAGCCACGAAACGGAATTGTGATGTGTTGTCACATAGGCTCCCCAAAACAAAACTAGTGCGAATTGCATTTAGTGTTTCTTGAGGATGATATAAAAACTACTCCGTGCATGACTGGGGGAGGGGGCTGCAGAACCCCTCCCGCTTTTCCGTGATATCTTACAAAGCGCTGAACATATGAGCACGAAATTTTCAGTACATCAATTTGACAAATTGTGTCAAAAGGAAAGGTTCCTAGCTACCATCGCTTGGCCGGAAACATCGTCAGCATGACGCCATGTTCGGCCGATTTTCATGGAAAACATGAGAAATCACTCATGACTCATGAGCCTAGTTTTTTTTTTGGCAAGCACCTATTTCTTTTGCATGAGATGATGAAGAATACACATGGATATGAAACTGCTCCTCGGAATTTTAAAAAGTTGGGAAATTTCGGAATTCCAAATTGTACAGACAGCATCCCAAAAATTATGTTGTTTTTTTCTTGTATTTTGACCTCTGTTATGCGGTCTTATCTGCACGTTATTGTATTTACCGATTTTTGAGAGGGTGTTTTATCCAGATGCAAACTCCGGCTGGGTAGGGTTAGTGTGTTAGTCACGTGTGCCGTTAGTAGGTTGAGTGCGTCAGTGGGGCCGGCTGGGCGGTGACCGGTCGGCCGGCGGTCGGCTCTCAGTCAGCGACTCTCTGCCCCGGTTGCAGGCGGAGCGGTTCGGCAGCTCGTTCATGCCGCAGCACCTACTGCCGCAGTCGGTGCTGGCCTCCATCGGGCAGTCGGTAGCGGCGGCGCCCTGGTGGCTGCCCGTCGCCGGCGCCCAGTGGCGACACCCGGAGGGAGCCGACTCCAGCGTGGACGGTCAGTGGAGCGGGCACCGGCTGCGGGCGCCGCGCCGCTGACGGACTGCCTGCTGGCATGACTGTTGGCGTTTGGCGCTGCTGATAGCCGGGAGATGGGCAGGGGAGGGGCGCCGCGGCTATCGGCAGCTATCGGCCAACTCCCGCTCCGCCCGGGAAACTGTTTCCAACAGTTTTCATGGTGACTGGCGATATTACGTTGTTGCCGTCACTGCCTCAAATATTCAAATTATAGCAAAATGTTCATAGGAAATGGGTTCTGCCTTATTTAAAGTGAATTTTATTTCATTGTTTTTTAAACTGTATTATCATTTTTCTTCTTCTTTGGCAGATAGGTGCTATTTTTTGGCGAACAGTTTTTTCCTTGATTGCCCGTTTTCTTCTCTTGGGCTGTGTGCTGTAGTGTACACTGTACCTACACCTCTCAGTGAACGTCACAGACAGACTGTACAGCCAACTGACCATCGCCAACCAACTCAACCATACGCATACGGCATACGCAGACATCAGAGGATTCTTCATGGCTCCGAGTGGAAGATATATAGTATATACACATACGCCACTTATACACCACTATACAGGGTGTCCCAGAATTGACCGAACATTTATTTCCTGGCTAAAAGTACGATTGCGCTCGATTCTAATTAGATACGAGCATTATATTTTAAGACATACCTTAGCTATCGAGCTTGGAGACTGTGTTTGGCTGTGTTTGGTGACCGGTCATGACTCGAGTCAGTTATTATCCAGAGTCAGCAAAGAGTAGCCCCTTTTCGTTTTCAGCCTCAGCAAACAAAAGGCAATCATGGTGAATAAAGTGCAATTCTGAAGTTCGTAAACGGACTTTCGGCATGGTTCTTGCTGGAGAGCTCCAGTAGCTCATTTGCAAGCAGGCAGGGGTGAGCAAACCGCATTTATATCAGCGAGCGAAGCCAGAGAGAGCAAGAGATAACCTGATCGACAAGCCTGGGCGCGACCAAAAAGGAGCATGCACCAGTCGTCAAGCGGGTGGTTTGCCATGTCATGGATAACAAACGTTACCCATTTACCCAAAAACAAGCTAAACGACAGATCAGGGTTAGCTACGAAACATCGGTCTACTTTTGACCACTATCTTCGACAAATTTTGGAATTTGGGGTCCCTCATCTGAAAAAAATATGTCAAAACTAACGGAAAGACAGCGCAAATCGCTACAAAGCAGCCATAAATCATAACATATGCAACAAAAAGTGAATGGAAACACACTTTGTGGTCTTACGAAGGTATTCTGCCCTTTGAAGCGACACAAAAAAGTCGTGTGTGGACGTCAGATGGTGACAACGCCCCAACAGCCGAGACGGCCAGGCACCCGTCGAAAATCAAAGTGTGAGACATTTTGAGCCACGTGCAAAACGAAGAGGTGTCAGTTTTGTGATTGTTGCAATGTCTCAGTAACTACTGGGCCGATTGCGCTGAAAGTTGGCAGGTAGGTAGGCACCCACTAGGCAATGCATATCCATGTGCCACAGTTGGGGTGCTGCTGCACATGCGCACGTGCAGGGGTCGATTCCAGATCTCGAGAACGGCTGGACCGATTGCGCTCAAATTTGGTACACGGTTAGGTACCGGTTAGTAGGGTGCCGTGCAAAAGTCAGCTGGGACCCATTTTGCGCGTGCGCACGTGCAGGGTGCCGCTTCCAGATCTCGAGAACAGCTGGGCCGATTGTGCTCAAATTTGGCACCTCGCTAGAGACCGGTTAGGAGGGTGCAGTGCACAAGTCATTTGGAGGTACCCCCTCGCAATTTCGCACGTGCAAGGCCCACCGTCTCGCTCGCTCCGCTATTCGCCCCAAAAGGCGTTATACTGGTAAGGGAAAAATATCAGTATGAGCGGCCCGGCCTGTAACGCTTTTGAGAGGCTTATAACTCAGCAGCCGATGGGCCGATTGACATGCGGCCTTTTTTGTTGGGTAGCCCCATTCCTTTTACCCCGTGGTTGACTATTCTTGATGCATTTAGGTGACCGTCGTGGCACGTGCCACGTGAAAAGCCAAGGGTGTTCAAGCAGCTCTACAGAATTTGCGCTTTTGGGAGGTCTATATCTCGGTAACCGCTTGGGTGATTGACTTGCGGTTATTTCTGTAGGGTAGTTGCATCCCTTCTACCAAACATCGGATACTCTCTATGCATGTGGGTCACCCCCAGTGCACGTGCAAAATGCAACAATAAGAGGTATCAAATTTGTTCCCATTACAATTACTCTGAAATTACTGGGGCGATTTCGCTGAAACTTGGCATAGAGGTAGGCGCCCACTAGGCAATCCGTTCCCATGCGTTACGGTTAGGGTGCTACTGCACGTGCGCGCGTGCAGGGGGCGTTTCCAGATCTCGAGAACGGCTGGGTCGATTGCGCTCAAATTTGGTAAGCAGTTGGGGAACGGTTGGTAGAGTGCCTTGCAAAAGTCGCATTGGACCCATTTTGCACGTGCGCACGTGCAAGGTGCCGCTTCCAGATCTCGGGAACGGTTGGGTCGATTGCCTTCAATTTTTTTAAGACATAGAAAATGTCACGACTTCTGACAATCATACACGAGGCCGGTTTTGACAAAAACATGAAAGTTAAGTGATTTCAGATGCACCAAACATTTCTTTGGTTAGCCATATCGCGATTTACTCGGTTTGGTTAACTTGACTTTTTGGTATTTATGGCCACTCGTGAACCCCATTTGCATCACTGTTGGGTGGGGCAAAACGGAAAAAGTGCATGACCTGTTTCAATTTTTTTTTTGTTAATGCGTCTGGATATCAGATCAAGCATGTAGGCATCCTAAATGCACTGGCACTTTATCAGCAAGGCATCAAGGTCTTGCTCAGCACCAGGCATGAACAGTAGTTTTGATTCATTCCTTAAAGAACAAGACACCAATTTTCTTATGCTGCCCATATTGCCCCGCCTTCCCCTATTTGGTTTTTATTTCATAAGTTACATACACAAACAACCATTAAAAATGGTTCGGTTATTGACCCATCATCACTTGAACTCTTGATTTTTGGCTATGAACCCTGCAGACCTTAACTTTGCATCTCAGATGGATGCAGATATAACAAATTATTTTCTTTGCGCATCTCAGAGCAGTGCGAGATAGACATATCTCTGCACTCTAGACCCAATGGCAAATAAACCTCAACTAGAAAGACATTATGTACTATCCGCAACTCGGACCGCAGACCGTCGCGCCAAGCGCAGCTGCTGACGGCCGGCTGTGACGGACAGAGCGCAGCTGCTGACGGCCGGCTGTGACGGACAGAGCGCAGCTGCTGACGGCCGGCTGTGACGGACAGCTGCTGACGGCCGGTTGTGTGCTGTGTCGGACAGGGCGCCAGGACCACCCGGTGGTGCACGTCTCGTGGACAGACGCCGTCTCGTACTGCCGCTGGCTGGGCGGCCGGCTGCCCACCGAGGCAGAGTGGGAGCGGGCGGCGCGCGCCGGGCTCACCGAGCGCCTGCTGCCCTGGGGCAACAAGGAGCGGCCGCACGGCCAGCACAGGTCAGTCGCCTGCTGCCCTGGGGCAACCCGCTCGGCCAGCACAGGTCAGTCGCCTGCTGCCCTGGGGCAACCCGCACGGCCAGCACAGGTCAGTCGCCTGCTGCCCTGGGGCAACAAGGAGCGGCCGCACGGCCAGCACAGGTCAGACAGAGAGAGAGAGAGAGAGAGAGAGAGAGAGAGAGAGAGAGAGAGAGAGAGAGAGAGAGAGAGAGAGAGAGAGGGAGAGAGAGGGGGAGGGGGGGGAGAGGGAGAGGGAGAGAGAGATAGGAGAGAGAGAGGAGTGATTAGTGATATATATAATGAATATATAAAGAGAGGGGAGAGAGAGAGAGAGAGAGAGAGAGAGAGAGAGAGAGAGAGAGAGAGAGAGAGAGAGAGAGAGAGAGAGAGAGAGAGAGAGAGCTCATTGGTGATTTGACGCGTGGAAGGATGGGGGAGGGTGAATATATATATATATATATATATATATATATATATATATATATATATATATATATATATATATATCTATATTATGAATTATAACATGTCCGTCCAATCTCCATCCGTGTGTCATGTCTTATGTGTCTTATTGCGTCGGAACGGCGGCACGTAGCGACGTGAAATTTGGCATGCCGAATCTGTGGGCGTGGGCGGCCTTTGTATTAAAATTTGGGGGTGATCGGCCCAGGGGTGCGCCGTCGGCACGTGCAAAAGGGTGCTCCCATAGGCTTAACACGTGGCCGGCGAAAACCGCCAACGGGCGAAAACCGGGCCTGCAGCGCTCCTTTCCCGAGCTTATATCTCGGTAACCGTAAGTCGCAGCGACGTGCGGTTTTTACTGATGGATACAGAAGAGATGGGCCTATCGTATGCAATAAGTTTTTTTTCTTAGGTATGTACCACGTGCAAAGAAATAGCCTCTAATCTCGAGAAAACGGGCATTTTTTACACATTTCAGGAAAAACGTTGGCATTTGAAAACGATGCACTCGAATGACACGGGGTGCATTTCACGGACTAAAAGAGGATCTGGCCTCTTCTGAATATATATATTTTTGGCCATTCACTCGCACATCTTTATAATTAAACGCTTACAAATTGCGAGTTTTACGTGAAACAGGCACGCTTACCTTTACAACATCATAATATATTGATAACGTAGACTTATGGCTAAAAGTCCTTAATATATTGAAAGAGCACTCTTTTCTGATCAATATCCACCCAAAATATTTTCAAAAAGTCATCAAGGGCTCTTAGAAACAGAGCAATCATTGTACCGTTTTCGACGCATTTTTACCGGTTGAGCGGCGGCCGGGCTTGAACGCGGCCAGGGCGCGGTAATATTACCGTGTGCCTTATATTCGTCTAATACTCGCCCCTCTTCCGCTGACAGCGCGGCCGAGTGGACAAGATGCCTGTCTCATAATCCGAAGGCGGGTGGTTCGCGGCTGGTCAGCTACGAAGTTTTTCGCCCGAATTCGTCCCTAGGTAGCATTCGGCCAGCCGGCAACCGCCGAGAGGGATGCGAATGTTACATTTTAACGAGCTGGCGTACCGTTAGGGATCGACTCAGCAACAAAGCATTCTTACTCTCAGATCAATATACCGAAAGCTGGCCATCTAGGGTATGAGTACTAAATAGTGTATGGGCAGAGTAGGTATGGGCAGGGTAGGGTATGGTTAGGTGACTGGTAGGATAGGGTAGAAGTTGGGTATGGGCCGGGTAGGGTATTGGCAGGGTAGGGTAATGGCCTAAATAGTGTATGGGCAGAGTAGGTATGGGCAGGGTAGGGTATGGTTAGGTGACTGGTAGGATAGGGTAGAAGTTGGGTATGGCCCGGGTAGGTTATGGGCTATCAAAATGGGTAGGGTACATCAAACTAATGGCCCCATGAACAATAGCCATCGAAACGTACACTTACCACGTGTATCCATCCATCCATCCTGGGTAAGGTAGGGTATTGTAGTGTATGTTAAGTTTGAGTGCATAAAGGCCCATCATCCGAAAGACTCAAACAACCCGGTAATCAGCACCAGCATACCATACAGTTCAATTAAAACCAAATGTCAAACTTCACCTAGCTCATACAAATAAAAATATAACCTCATACACCCAAACTAATGCCCCCTCAAACGCATCTATCCAAACGTACAGTTATCGCGCAAACATGGCCATCTAGTATATATATATATATATATATATATATATATATATATATATATATATATATATATATATATATATATATATATATATATATATATATATATATATTCACCCTCTATATATATATATATATATATATATATATATATATATATATATATATATATATATTCACCCTCTATATAATATATATATATATATATATATATATATATATATATATATATATATATATATATATATATATATATATATTCACCCTCTATATAATATATATATATATATATATATATATATATATATATATATATATATATATATATATATTATATATATATATATATATATATATATATATATATTCACGCTCTATATAATATATATATATATATATATATATATATATATATATATATATATATATATATATATATATATATATATTCACCCTCTATATAATTTATATATATATAGTTATATATATATATATATATATATATATATATATATATATATATATATATATATATATATATTTATTTTTCAGCAGAAGCAATAATGTTTAGATAAACTCAACCTTTTTCCGGACAGTTTCGTGACTTGTATTGTCACTGCGTCGGCGGTTATACGAGCTTGCGTTGCACACTATAAAAATAAACAGAGTTGAAATTACACAAGAAAACACGCGTCACACTTCCACACTTCCATGCTCCGGGTTAATCCAGACCTGCAAGACCAGCTGAAAGCAGAAAGCACAAAGGATCGGAGCGGAAAGAACGGACCGTCCTTAGAGCCTCGCTTAAGGCATGCAGCCAGGGAGCTTCGTGACAATAAGGATGTGGTAGTGTATTTATTATTTATTTATTTGACATCGTAGGCTCATTCCACAAAAAATGGCTATTCCTGAACCAGGGTCGCAATATAAAATGATGGGTGTCGTGGGAAAAACATACGCACGCACGCACACAGACAGACATTCGTTCGCAGTCACTCTCTCACAAACGTGTCGTCATGAAGTATTGCTAACGGTCGGCCGCCTGTTGTCGCAACAAGTGCCGGCGCAACTCTGCCTTGAACGCGCGCAGGTTCAGGTCACACACACTGTAAAAAAATATTGACTAGCCCTTCGTCAAATGATTCTCAACGCTAAATGTCGAGGGTACAAACTAGTTTTGCATCCTACTTTTGACACACGCTGCGAGCCCCTGGCTTGTTTTGTGTTCGTCAGATGACAGTTACCAGGTGTCGGTTAGTTTTTAACACGTCCCAAAAATAGCTGGAGCGTTTCTGCCTTGTTTTGGAAGCAGGTCCTCGTTAATGCTGTGTATGATAACAAAGTACCTAGTAACAATAATAACGAAAAACAATGTCAAAACGAGGGTGGCTTGTTTAGTGACGATGCTCAAAAGAGGCATCGTCTTGTTCCTACTTAACGAATGAAGCACAAACTAGGTCAAAACTAACGTATTGCTCAACCCATAGTCAGATGACCAGCAGATCCTACGCCGCCCAATCCAGTCATCGAATTTGCCAGCGAATTCGTTTGAAGACCATCATATTATTAAATATCGGTGGTCTTCAAACGAAATCCCTTACCAGTTTGATGACGAATTCATCCGGCCCATTCCAAAAACGCTCAAGATAAAATGAAAGTGTATTTCTGAAATAATGTGCTTTCTTGCAATGCACCTTTCGTATATCAAGCGAACCTTTCACTTCCAGCGCCCGTTTACAGCTATCAATCGAATCAGAAGCATGCACATACCTATCGATAGATCTGAACCTAAGAACACAGAAGACATTTTGTAGAGTACCTGTCTGAGCCTATGCAGTGGAGCCCGTGAGTCGCCCAACCGCAGCTGCCTCATGAACTTGATGATAGGTCTGAACCTCAGATTGGCCAGAGCTTGGCCGTCAATAACCAGCTTATTTATATCCACAGTTGTAGTGACTTAGGGTTTGGAATTTGCCAAACCTAAGTTTTGATTACCAAGAGAAGTTTTGCTTCTTGCACTTGCCTTTTCTTCATAACTTTGGCGGAAATCGTCGTAGTGAAACTTCAGTGTTCCGTTAGCTGTCGGTTCTTGAGAGAGTTGGCCAGGCCGGACACCGGGGGCGGCTCCACAACTTTCGAAAAATTAAACCTAAGTCCTATTGCACTGCATGGAGAGCAATTCATTTTAAATCGCTCTTGTCCCCCCCCCCCTCGACAACTTTGCAAACGTCTCTGCGCGATTTGGTTGAGAATAATGGCTTATGGCAAGTTATTGAATCAGAACGTCGAGCACTGCAGGTCATATATCGGCAAGCAATTCTTCATAACTAGACACTGCACAAATGGAAACGATACAGTTTTGCCCAGTGATAAACACTCGCACTGCACAGACGCGCGCACCCCCGACCGAACGCGGCACGGCACGGCACTGGCGCCGGGAAGCCGGGAACGCATTAAGTGAAGGATTCACAGGTGCGCAACTTTATTGCGAACAATAAAAACCTACCGCAAACGATTAAAAAAAAGTTTTGGGGCAATCGGAAATACAAATGTATTGACTTATAGAAATAAAATTGTCATTCACCTTCCAAATAACCCAACAATTTATTTGCCGTAAAAAGTGTCTGGAAATGGAAAGTTGCAAACATGATTCAGCAAGTAGGGAAACGCAGCAGCTACCTGGCGAATAATCTCAGGCTGGTTTAGTGACGAGTGCATTGCTACGGCTTGTTCCTCACCCTTCACAGATTACTATGACAAAACTACCCCTAGTATTTTGATCATCCTGAGCCTGGCTTTCACCTAATAATTTGATGAGGGTCTTTCTCGTTTCGGATTGAGGCGAAAACAAACGTCA